AAAAAAAAAAAAAAAAAGAAAGAAAAAGAAAGAAAAAAGAAAAGAAAAAAAAAAACACGCATACGTTTACCATATTTGTAGAGCATGGTGTAATGGCTCATATGCCATCAAGGCTAAGCCAATCAAAACTCTTGCATTATATTATCCAGTGATCTAGTTTTTAAAAATAGCTCCTGACCGATGAGAGATCTAGAAATGCATTGACCGAGGTTGAGAAAAATAAAGTTACCAAAAAAACCTCATAGCAGCCGAGGGTAATATTTTGAATAAAGGTAAGAAGATCTTATCCAAGTTATCCATATTTCAATAAAAACGGACGTTTGGTGTTAGTTGAGAACACAATAACACACACATTAAGCATTCTTACGAGGTTTGACATTAAATTTCTCGAGAATGCTTGGGTATTTAATCGCGGGGTCAGCTAGAAAAATTAATTACATTGAAATGTTTTCAATAGTATTCCAAAAAGTTACCGTGCTGTGAGTAGATTATTAGTAAATAATTTTTGCACTTATTGCACGAGCTTTGAGTGGAATCCGTCTTAATATTTTTGATATCGTTGTATTGTTTTTACAGGTTGATGTTATTTTAGGTGAACCATTTTTCACAAGTGGCCTGTTTCCGTGGCACAACTTATACTTCTGGTATGCAGCAGTGAGCGCCGCTAAAATAAACAGACGAGGAGTGAAGATAGTGCCTCAGGGTGCCACATTGAAGGCAATGGCAGGTCAGGCTTTTAAACTGAATTTTGCAGGGTTAATGTGGTACCATAGGCATTTAAAGCGGGTTGATCGTACAAGTGTCAATTTGCATGTTCCCTGCTGTAAGCAGACAAGTAGAAAGTATCACCATCTATAGCCTCCTAAACAGACGCTCTTTGGGCTCGTCACGTTTCGTTGAGGAGGACGATTGTGTCACGAGCCCAAATAGCGTCTGCGTAGGCCACAACATATACCGCTACCCCAGTTGATGACGCTCGACCAAAAAGAGACCCTTTGAAAGAGAAGGGTGTACCTGTGGCGTTCCTGAGGACTTGCTGGTACATTCTTTGGACTTCGTCAAGTCTGTTGGACTCACTGTTACCATAGCTAACTACACGGACCGTGGAGCGTCAGAGTTGTGAGAGGGCTCAGTGGCCCTCTCGCTGTTACACAACGCTACGCTCTCGGGAGCATAGCGTTTGCGTGATTGAGAGAGGGTCAGAACTGGACTAGCTTACCTCCCGCGAACATGGCCTGAGTTCGAATACTGCACCCAGCCTCACATGTGGGTTGAGTTTGATGTCTTGACCGCCGATTTTTCTGCGAGTTTTCCTCCCTGGGCGAAAACCAACACTTCTAAATTCCATTTCGATCTGCAAACAGTGGACGAAGAGCTACTGCTAAATCCTATATATTTTGTTAATTTTATTTGAATAAACGTATTCTTATACTCATCTGCGCACAAAGTTGGTTTTGCCTCTAAAAGTACTGGGTCGCGTTTAACAAAGTCAAGGGGAACAGTCACTGTGGTAACTCTCAATTGTTGAATTTCAGTGGAGTTTGACGATCTGTGGAAGTTCCATGCTCCAGTAAACATAGTGGAAGGATTTGATATTTCTTTGTTTGACAAACTGATCGAGGTAAGAAAAACTTATAGTTTTACTTTCCGACCAGGAAAATGGCTTGCTTTGCAACAGAGTTCGCACTACTCCTGAAACTCCCGAAAAATTCCAGAATTTTTGAAAAATTTTTCCAGGGTCCTGGCAAACTCCTTGAATATTCAATTTTGGCATCAACTCGTGGAAAAATCCTTGAATTTATCTATTGGTAGTAGTTGTAGTATTAAAAAAGGAACTTTTTCAAGAAAAAACGAATGAGAAAGTTATGAAAACGTTTCTCTACATACACTTTGGCTTAGGAAGTAACTTATTCTAAAGAAAATTGATGTGAAATTTCTAACTTTGGGGTCCTGGACCTTGTTTGTTGATTCCCTGGAAAACACCTGGAAAATTCGTGGAATGCAATAATCTACTGGTAGTTCGAACCCTGTTGCAAGGTTTCTGGTGTGACCTTGCACCCAACCGTTTCTTGTCTGATCTTTCAGGGATCAAAACTGACAAATGAAGAAATCAATAATGAAACAAGCCACGGCATAGCTTTGGAGCCACATCATTTGTGGGAATACCCCTGTCGTGCTCTTACGGAGGAATTCACGATCATGAAATTTGATTTTACTTCGCATATACCAAGCCAGAAAATGACTAGTGAAGGAAATGTCAATCTGAAAAGGTAATTACAATACAGTGGAATCCCGTTAATTCGGTCACCAACGGGCCACAAAAATGTGGCCGTATTAACGGGGTGGCCTTATGAAAGGGGTTCTTCAAATAAGAAAATGACTGATTGAGCTTTTGTTTGGGCCAGAATAAAGTTACCGTATTAACGAGGTGGGAGATTGACAGTTAATTCTCACCGTCCACCCCGCCCCCTCGCCCCCCTCTTTCTGCGGTGAATGTGTAAGATACTATTATTCGTCACGTTGAATTGAAACGACCTGTGACCTGTTCCAAATGCGTGTGATGAGTCATAAGTACCATTTAATATAACATGTAGTAGTAGCGTATTCTAGGCTCTCGACAGTAGGGGCGAACAAAAAATGTGGGCATGCGAATGGCGGGGCGTCCCTTTTTCTTTTCGCTTTCGTCCTTCCACTATTTGATCGTCCCCCTCGAGAACCTGAGACAGGCTACTGTGCTAGTAAAACACAGCTACAGTGAACCCGTTTTGCCCGGGTATGTTAAGTATGAACCAGGCTCTCAAATTGAGGTCGGGGACGATATACTGGAAAAGGTGCGATAAATTATTTCGTTCAGCACTGGCGTTCCTCGTCTCGTTTAGTTTTGGTCCATCACAATTAACCTTTTCCCAGGCTCTCTCTTCATCCTGCTTGTCCTTCTCACTCTGTGGGGGAGGGGGTGGGGGGAGCTAGAAGACGAGACCCTGGGAACGAGGTTGCCAGCAAAACAACGTAAAGAATGCATTGCAATAATTTTGCGTAAACAATTCTTTACTCTTTATTGTGAAGGCAATTTTATTTCATTAGTAGAATTGTTTTCATTTTTGTATTTCTTTCAGATATTTTAAAAACTTGTGTCCATTTTATTCAAATAATGGTGTTTCTTTGCACAGACCAGGTACTTTTCATGGAGTTGCCATATGGATGGATTTCCATTTAACCGAAAAACTAACCGTTACTACAGGACTGCAGCAGGTGAGGCGTCTTAACTGTTTGTCTGCCTCTTTGTGCCGGTTTAAGCCACTCGTATATTTCTTTCTTTCTTTTACAGAATCAAGAGCTCGCAGAAGGGACATCAAAATTGAACTGGGTTCGTCACACAAAGCAAGGTGTTTATTTCATGCAGTTACCGACTCAGATTCAAGATGAAACCCTTGTAAAGGACAATGTTCCTGTTATTAGATACGCTGTCAGTTTTGAACCAAATTCTGGAGAGATCGACTTCAACTTTCAACTACACACAAGTTAACACCATTGGTTATCATCATGTGCGTCAGTGATTGTCAACGAACTGCACTGAACTTGCGGAATTCAGTGAATCTACTAGCTGCAGCTAGTTGCAATCACCCTTCAACTGAAAAAAACGAGAGACTCTCTATCAACTGCCGCAACTGTAGCAGTCATCATTTCACATATTGTAGTAAAGTCGAACCTCCAAAATGTTGACACCT